CCTCGCTTTCTCGTTTGACAGATTATCTCACACTTGCCATCGGTTGTGGTTTTTCATATCAATACCATTTCAACCACTGGTACAGTCAACCAGGATTAACACAGGAAGTTTTCCTTCTACCAGTGATGAACGAAATTATCTTATATTGGCCTCTTTTTCTTGTTCCCCACTCATGGGTAAACATCATGCTAAAAACAACAAAAGTTTTCTTTGCCTGATGTAAAATAAACTTTTTAAAACATTTTGTTTTATAACGGGAGTTAAAACTGATTCGGTTTTGAAATACCAGTATATAAATATTTTATAATTTTTTTTTCACATGGTAATTTCCTTTATAGTTCAGTTATATTTTGTTTGAAGAGAATTCTTGACAGCTTTATTACTAGTCTCGTGTGGGATTACTATACGTGACAACTAAAAAATTGATCATACAATCAACCTTTTTCAAAAAGCGAGAATAAAGCAATTATCAATTCCAAAGAAAAGTAATTAATAAAGTCAGTTTCCGGTACACCATTTCCGCCGAAGAAGAGTACAGTTATATTGATCTGAGAACAGTTGAGTGTTGTCAAGGAAGCAGTTAAAATCTTCAAGATGCAACGGAGGTTCATGATTATCGTTGAGAGATCTTGCTATTGATTTGTGGCACATTATACAATATAAAAAAATGAAAAATAAAAAAAAATGAAAGCACCAAATGAGGGATTTTGTTGGGATTATAACAATACGCAAATGACTAAAATACGCCATTCACAAACGCCTCGCTTCTAGTTCATTCGGTTCTGACTCATATCAATATCGCCTAAAGAAACATTTAATTGGTCTCGTGAGGAATCCACTAGATCTGAAGGAACTCCTGTTATAACACAGCGAAGGTTAACTTTGTGATTTTCCGAAAATCACTGTGATTTCGCTGCAGGACACGGACTCACCAAAAAATATCGTGGACGGTTTATCATTTGCCAGATTTACTGCTAACCGCTGAATTGGCAGCCTGCCGACTTTACAAATCACTAGCTGCGCTTGACTTACACCATACGCCTGTGCCAATATTCTTAAAATCGGCTTCACAATCCTCGTTCGGCGTCTGTTGCGGGAAACACACAGACCGTATACAGCTACGTAGCTGTACGTGTAAAGAGTTTTATCATACAGCCGAGGAGCTGGTAGAAGAAGAAGCAGGAGATCTTGTTCAAATGTCGCACCTTGTTTTTTCAAGTCGATTCACGAATTTGCGGAGCCATTCTCCCGACATGTAAATAATAATAACAAGGAAGCTGGCGGTTCCATCTTAGTAGTTACAGACACCTTTTCCGACATGCGGCAAGTAAATTTGTATTCTCTACAAACATACTTTAGTCATTACGGTTTAAGTATTTTTTTTTCTTTACATTTTGTGTTTGTTAACTTCATTTTTATTCCAGCGGTTTTCAAATACAAAACGCGCCCGGTGGTGAGATTAAGACGCGGGCTAGATGTCGAATTTTTCCTGTGTCTTTTAAAATTGATAGTTCTTTAGCTCTTCCACTACTGCAAGTTGGCTACCGGGATTTAAAAAAAAAATGAAGTCAGAACGAAATCTGGAGAACAGTGGCGTCAGTTTTCCGCGCCTTAATGAATAAGAATAACTAAATCAGTAAAATTGAAAGTTTAACTCAATAAGTGAATAGGGGAAGGATTACAAGATATTAAAGGCTTGGCGAAGAGTGTTAAATAAGTCTTCGAGGAATTTCCAGAAATGGCCCATGCAACTTTGTTGGTTTTTTGTGCTTTACGTTACTTGCGTTCTCTTGATTTGATTGCACTTTTTGACGAAATAACCATATCCAACTGTAAACGTAATTTGTTGTTTTGAAAGTTAACGTACTAACTGTGAACTGACGGAAATGATCTTTTGAATATTCAATAACGGTTTCACAACGATCAGTTGGCTGTGAAATGGCGCAGTTTTGCAAAAGGGCTAACACGGTAGCGCTGCGGCTTCTTAAGTGATGCCATTTTTTTCTTATAAAATCAGTTGCCGGCTTTGATTTCAGGGTACCATTTTAGTCTCTCTAGGGCTTCTTTTGTACCGAAAGTGTTTGCATCGAATTTTTTCGTCTAGAAAATGTATTCTTAAGTTATGTAACGTTCCGAAAATAGACATTAAATTGCAACATTAACTTGTTTGGAAGTTTCAGGAAGAGCTGAACTAGACTAAGTAAAGTCTCAGTAGGACCCGTGGAGCTTATTTTCAACAAGAATTAAATTTATCCATCTCCCATCGCTCTAAACCGAGTAAACACAGACACATTTTAGCGTCGTGGTAAAAGAGAAGCACAACTGAAGAAATCAAATGGAATAATTAATACTTCGACAAATCTAAAAAAGGGATTGTTTTAGAAAAAGCAAAGCTTTAGTAACATCATCAAGAAGTTCTTCTTAATATGAAAGCAGATTGCACAATAAAGAAAGGTAGACATAACACCCAACTTGTTTTCTTTTGCGAGGTTTAATTAATGTTGAAAAAGTACTTCAAGGCTTTGCTGCTGAATCAGATGAAATAATTACTCGGCAAGGAAAAAAAAAAAATGCGCAGTTTAAATGTCGTTCTGTGTTAGGGTTTTAGTTAGACCGAATAACTGGCTACTGGACTCGACTTAGATCACGGTTTTAAAGTACATTTATTTATACTTGCTTTGTAAGGGCGTCTTTTCCTAGAAAAACAAAACAACTTTGTTGAGCTAATTGAATTACTACTGACCCAATCATTTACACAGGTATGCAAATAAGTATTGACACTATTTTGACATAAAAAGTAGGAATCCCACCAACTGACCGGAGGCAAACCAGTGGGCTCTATCTGCGACAAAATCAACCCTTTTTGCGCACACAATTACTAGCACTGGCTGGCTCGATTACCAGCTGCTCTAGCCTACAAAGTAATAAGAATAGAAATAAATGTTGCAAGAATTAAAGTTAAACATAAAATACAAGAACCCGGATCCCAACAATCCAGTCAGTTACTTGCAAGCATTGAACTTTTCTTCCACATGAGCTAGTTGACAGAGCAGGAATTTTACCCGAGGCGACCATGTTAAAATCTACTGTTCTTGTTACCCTTTCTTATATCTGATATCTGAATCAGGTAGGATCCTTAAATCATTCAGTTCGTTATCATTAATAGTTGTTTTCTTTGCCAAATAGGTCTGTACACAATGACAGGCTCCACTCCATATAGTGAGCCTGAAGGTACCGCTGAAGTAATTTCGCAATCATTTCCAATGACGGAACCCACGTACCTGATAGAGGCAGAGCCCCTACCGAATTGGGACGAAGCTAAAGAAACTTGGCAATGGGTCTGGGACCTACACTGGGCAGGACTCGGTTCACTGTTTGCACTACTCGCGCTCTATGCACTGTGGTCGCTCTTTGATTTGGCGGGAAAAAAGCATAGACGGAAACCGCTTCTGGCAATCACTATAAGCTCTCTGCTTCTAATATTTGGATTGACACGAGCTCTTTTTCTTTTTATCAATCCATACGAATCTGAACAGTGTTTTTTACCCTTCACTGATTGTCCGGTAATGTTATCTAGAGTATTGTTCAGCATCGCCTTACCCTGCATCACTGCATCTTTTTTTCTCCTTCATCTGACGTTTCTTCAACTATCCAAACTTAAACTTTACCCGGAAAAGTTACAGAGCGTTAAATTTGTGACTTGCGTAGTAGCCTTTCATTTTACCCTGGCTTCAGTCACAGTGGTAGTAACATCGTTGAATTCCGACTGGATCGGGTTCACAATCATTTGCGAGACATTCTTCATCCTTCTAAGCCTGATACTCTCTGGGAGTTTCATATACAGTGGAAGAATAATTCTCAAGTCAGTGAAAGAATCGCGGTTTTCAGTGCGCCGGTTTATGGACCAGAAAACCGCGCATGCGCACAGTTCGAATCCAAATGTCACTAAACTGGTCAAAATAACTTACATAACAGTATTGCTGGGTTTTGCCAGCGTCGGTTTGCAGATATACTCTATCTTCGTTGTACACGATATGTACTCTAAAGATCATTCGGTAACACCCGAACCTTGGCCCTGGCTGATTTTCGAATCGTTATGCCGCCTTGTTGAGCTTGGTCTTGGTTGTACAATGGCATACGTGAATCCAAGGCAAGTCCCAAGACTAAAAAGGAGAAGAAGATGGAAAATTTCCTTGAAACGCTTTAAGCGAGGAGGGTGGTCGACTTATGCGCAGAATCAAAGCAGTGCGGACTCTAGTGACGTTACCTACCCGGTTGGTGTGCCTTATGGTAAATACCTCCCCACTATGGAGCTAGGTTTAGTGAACCAAGGAGGCAGTTTTGTTATCCAGGAGGAATTCCTGCAGCCAATTCAACCCGTGTTTCAAACGTCTTGATTCATTTATGGTGACTAACAGTAGCGACATGAAACACGCGGGACGCCGATGTTAGAACTTGGCTTATTGAGGATTTCACCAGGTGTTTTCGCACTCAAAAACTAGAGAGTGTTCTTCGTACTATGGACAAGAATATAAGACCAACACTACCTCGGGCAATCTGAACAACTAACACCGCTGGCCCTGATTTAGGCTACTGCTTGATTAGGAAATGGCCGGAACATTTAGTTTTGTGGCCGGGCTGAGGAAGACACCGAATTGCTCTCAGTCCATTAAGAGTTTAAACTTATTGGTTTCCAGTGGTTTTGTCAGGGGTACAAAGGCAGATTTTACACGATACACGCATTTGATTGGTCTTTTCATGATCTGTTGGCGTTACTACAGACCCACAGATGACGTCAGGTATATTTTGCTTCGCCTAGCATGGCATGGAGTTCTGAAATTGATGGACGAAGTTATTCCTGATTTATACTACTGGCACCGGACGAATTTTCCACCGGCTGAACAATTTGACCGGACAGTTCGTTCGCGCGGGACCGTTCGATATTTTTAATCAGTTTACAAGGAACTTTTAGAACGATTTTCGTATGACCTTCGTATGTTTCGGTATAAGTGTTCGTTATTTGTTTTATCAGCCAATGGATGAAAAGATCAAAACATGGCCTCCTCGTTTTCCCGCCAAAGAAAACCCTAGTATGGAGAAGGCATTGTTCGATTGGCCAATCGTGTTGCAGTATGACGTCAAAGCGAAGTATCGGTTGATTTCTGGGAAGTTCTCGGAAGTTTTTTCACCCAAGCGTTCGCTCAACCAACCAAAAGCCACACTCGTTTGTATCCGTTCGATAAACCAATCAAGTCGCTCTATTTCCGTTCGTTTGTTGTTTCTGTTTTGTTCGCGCGTTTTCATTTCAAGGTCATATGAAAATCGCTATAAGCAGAATTAGATGTAGGATAAGTTTGTTGAATGAGGTGGAAAATGTGAAAATGAAAGACGTTTTCCAAAAGTGATAAAACACAAACGCGAGCTACGTGGCTTTAGAGTGTTCTGTTGTTAATAGTACAGGCGAGCTTCTGTTAAGCGGCCTCTCTTTGAGTCCCTAGAGTCCCGTCGGAAAAAATTGTTGGTAAATCTCTTATAAGCAACCATTCTTAACTAGCTCTTGTCAAAGTTTATTTCAACTATTATGCGCTTGTATTTGACTGTACGTCATTCACGTACCATAATTAAACCAATGGAATAAAACACATATCATACACGCGTCGTTGCCCTCTTAATTAAGACATAAAGAACAAACCGTTTTAATTTTTATGGAAAACCAGTGTTGCCCGTTTAGCAAAAAGTACTATCTTTTCCAAAAGATGAAAAAAATCTTACCAGGCAAGTGACAAATATGTAGTGTTTCACTGGAACTGAGTAATTTTATTCGCAACACCAATTAACTGATTGAAAGGATTTGTTAAAAAAACTCAGCCCTTTTCCTCCTAAAGAATAGTAGTCTGTTCCTCAAATGGTATTCAGCTCCTGCTTTTATTGTTATATTAACTCTTGTAAGTTATAACGGTAATATCGTAGGTGACGAATTACTTCTTAATTCTGGCGCGAAATTTCAGCGTTAATTTGTAATTTCACATGTGAAATTACAAAATTGCCATGGCAACCTTCCGTACGTCTCAGTGTCAAGATGGCGACGAAGTTTTAAAATGTCATGAATTAAGATGTCAGGGCACAAAAAGACGCTTTAAAAAACCTGAACACACGAAAGAGCACATCAAGAAGGTTTCTAACAGGTATTTTGTCCAAAAGCTCTGAACTTAAGCCAAATTTAAGCGCTAAACGTTCGAGAGAGTTCAGGAGTTCTCGATCGATACGATCCAGGAAAAACATGTCAAAAATCCAAGATTGCTAACGTAATTCGTCACCCATGATATTCATAGGTAATCAAATGGTATATTCGTGAAATTAGGGAATAATTTCACTTGCGTTTTGTCCAAATCCTAATAATTTCCCTCGCCTAAAGGCTCGGGAAATTAAAAGGATTTGGACAAAATTAGGGAATAATTTCACTCGTCACCATTTGATTACACATACTAATTCTTTTTTTTAGGGTTGACTTTCAGTGTCGCGTAATTTTTACGTGCGTACGCGCGTAAAATTTACGTTCGCAAATGAAATAGAGGCGATGCATGAAAGGTCGCTCGTTAGCGTAAAAGTTGAACCTCGCTCAACTCAATCAACTCTTAGTCTTTTCCTCGCTTAATTTTATCGGCGCAGATAATTGTGAAACTTTATGGAATAAACAAAGAGCCAGAAACTTGTTTAATTCAGCTTCCTTTTTTCAGTTGAAACTACCTGGCGCGCTCATACTCCCATAGGGAAGTGGCTGGAAAAGCAGAGGGTGGGGCTACGCCGGAAGAAAAGCAAGAGAACTTGTAGCACTTGTGCAAAGTTAACGTTATGAATGGCGGAAAATGAAAGTAGATCAATACGTAAAATGAGATTATTAAAGAGGATCACGTGACTAGGAGGTCACCTGATCTCAACCGTTAGTTCTCCTCCAAATCGTTCTAACGTACGAACGGTCACACAGTTTGTTTGGTTACCCTGTGACAAAAGATTCTAACTCTAAATGAGCCCTCGTAGCAACCGTTACCGCTCGAGTTATTGCGTGAAAACTTGAAGCAGAGAAAAACAACAACAACAACAAGAACAACAACAAAACAAACAAAAAAACAAAGGGAGGTAAGGGGAAGGTAACGGGAGAAGCAACCTGGTTTCCAGGGTCCTCTCCTACTGGGAGAGGAGCCTGGGAACGAGGTTGGGGGAGAAGAAGGAAACCTTTCCTTCATCCTCCCCCTTCTTTTATTTTTTCTGCTCTCGTTCCAGCTACGCGCATTAACTCGAGCGGAAACTCTTGCTACGCATTCAATCGCGGCCCTGTGTTAGAAATTTTTCACGTTACACGAGAGATGTTCAGATAATAAAACAATTTTATTCTCTCTTGCTTTCCTTTGTTTTTGTGGTTACCGTCCCCCTTCTGGGAAGGATTATATTTTGGACGGTTTCTTCTTCTTCTTTGACCCAGTCAAATCAGAGTTTCCGTAAAACAGGAAAAGTTCGAATTTAGGTCATAACACTCTCATACGAAATGTGATTCTCTGGATGACGAAACTCCACAGGTACAATTACCACTCTTTCAATCCCGTGTTGAATTTCTGTTGCCCAAAATGTAAGTCGTCTTCGGAATTAGTGGCTTGATTACGTCCGAAGTCAGCTCACTTTCAAGTCCTTAATCAAGCACGGTTGAAAAATCCTCAGTCATCCCATAACAGTTCACTCTTTTGGGCCTTTCGAAATGAGTGAATCAATGAGCTTCCGGATATACATCGAGTTAAAATGTGGCCCTTGCCGAGGCAACCAATTGTACTATTAACTAACGTTTGCCGGCTGAGTGGGATGTCACAGATAACAGCTTACTAGTCTGCAAGTAAGCTCTCAATTTGGGGGAGTCACGCGAGAGACGCACGCTAGTAGACGCGAGTGCGAGGCGCTGACAGCTTTCCTACTTTGATCAAAGTCAGTTGCAGGTGACGGCTTCGTTTTACAGCATGACTGGATAAGAACTCCCAGAACAGAAGACATAGGAGCTAAGTCAAGTTTCTTCTTTGAGTTTGTATTTTTTGCGTTTCTTATGCTTCTTCTTGTGTTCGGTTTCTATTTCGAGTCTTTGTTTCTTCTTTTCTTTTTTCCTCTTCTTTTCTTTCTTTTTTTTAACGCTGCTGTTTTCTGTGGTTTCTTCATCTGTTTCAGTTCCTTCTTGGTTTCCTGTGGAAACTGTTGACAGGAAAAGCATGTTATTTGAGTGGCTCTTCACTGGGTAATCTCACTATGAAATCTCCTCAGCACTTTCCCTTAAGAGGACCGTTTCTCAAAACTGCCGATAAATAAATCAGCGTGTGTGTACAGGCTATAACGGGCCCGTAAAGCTGTTGTTATTAGTATTCAAGATATAGGTTTCGGTGATTTTGTAGATAACACGACAAAACTATCACTTAACAAAACAAAATGGCCTGGTTAGTTAGCTAGGACCCACGTATCTTTTGAATCCGGGACTTTAGAGAAACCATCCCCTGATACTAAGATTTTTGTCACTAATTTTGTTGACACTTACTAGTAGAACAGAGCCAACCCTACCATTCACCTTTTGCTAGCGATCGCTTGATCTAAGGAACTCTAGCCTACCTGCCCCTCCCCCCCGGGGGGTACTCCCTTATATAGGCTATATAGGTATGTGCGGCGCCAAAGGGTATGGTGTTTTAGACGTTTGGGTCCAAAATAGGGTATCAATTTTGATCATTTTGGTCTGAAATAGGGTATGGTTTGTGCACTCTACTCTTGAATTGGGTATGTTCAGAGTTTCTGGTATGTTTTTTGGAAGAAGCTACTTTGAATTCCTGTATTCCAAGATTACGGTTCGTAAAATACACTATTGTATTGTTCCTGTATATAGTATATTAGTCATCATATTAACGTTAGGTAGGCACGTATTCTGTATTTATGACGGCGCATTATTCAACGTGTTTTTTAGTGTGGAATTTTAAGCTTGAAACTTTGTACAGTTTTGTATCCTACCCAATAAAAGCGTATAAACATTGCCTTTAACATTGGTCTGACCTAGGGAACTGATTATAAGGCAGGTCTGAAATAGGGTATCAAATTTTTGATCAGGTCTGAAATAGGGTAGGGAAAATCACAGATTTTGGTCTGAAATAGGGTAAGGGTTTCAGGAAGCGTGNTTGGGTATGTTCAGAGTTTCTGGTATGTTTTTTGGAAGAAGCTACTTTGAATTCCTGTATTCCAAGATTACGGTTCGTAAAATACACTATTGTATTGTTCCTGTATATAGTATATTAGTCATCATATTAACGTTAGGTAGGCACGTATTCTGTATTTATGACGGCGCATTATTCAACGTGTTTTTTAGTGTGGAATTTTAAGCTTGAAACTTTGTACAGTTTTGTATCCTACCCAATAAAAGCGTATAAACATTGCCTTTAACATTGGTCTGACCTAGGGAACTGATTATAAGGCAGGTCTGAAATAGGGTATCAAATTTTTGATCAGGTCTGAAATAGGGTAGGGAAAATCACAGATTTTGGTCTGAAATAGGGTAAGGGTTTCAGGAAGCGTGCGGCACACCCCTAACCAGTTTTTCTGGAAGTACCCCCAGAGACCCGCCCACGTTCCAATCTCATTAGTGATCCGAGAAAGGCCTAAGGAGGAGGAAAGAGTTATCCACCTATCGAGAAACTGGCGCCAAATACATGACTTATTTGAGCCTACAACCAGGGGATATAATGGGAAATAATTGTTGATAAAATGGATAGGCCTGTAAATAGTGGGGTGAGGGGCGTGGTGTGCTCCCCAGGAATTTCTTGCCAATGTGGAATATAAAACATGAGGTATGTTTATTTGTCGTTTTTAAAACATGAGGATAGAAGAATGGGGAAAAAAAGGCAGGAAGGGTACTCTGCAGCTTTAATAATCCACACTTGTGATATCTACACCTCTAGCGCTATCTCGAGAGTAGAGAAAAAGGCCATCGAATAAGAGATATGGTAAGACTAAGGACCAAGTTTGCCTACATTTCTGCTTATCCAATAACAAATAACGCTCATTTAGTTGCTACGTGATGGTCAGGAAAAGGGCTCAACTAGCTAAAAATGGCAGTTTTCCTTTGAGTGGTCTAGGTTATGAGTTGAAGCCTTTATTGCACTTTATTATGCAAACCTTTCTGTTTATTAGCATTAAATTTAACACCCCCCACAAATGACAAAATACAAGCGGAGAACAAAGCACATTCCAACCTCTTTTTAGTGGCTAGGTGCAAGGTGACCTTACCATTTTTGATGATAGAGTGACCAGAAACAGCTGCTTCTGCTAAACGGTTAATTTCTTCTTCATCTGTATCACTGGAAAACAATGAGAAGTTAAAAGTGAAAATAGTTTCAGTAACTTTCACTATGAATGCCAGACCTTTGTCAGAGGATAAGAAAAAAACAAACAAACAAAAAAACAACCAAGAGAGTAAGTCTTTTTGAATTTTGATTCCCATGGGGGGGATGTTCTAGGAAAAATGAAAAATTGCTTTTTTCATTTTGCCCTGGGCCTATCTTTTTAAATGAGGAAATAGGGACCTTAAGCAAGGACGACGAGGACAGCAGTGAAAACGTTGGTGAAAAAATGAATTTGCATTCTTTAAAACTTAATCGCGTCTATTTGGACCTGCTTAATATGTCAAATGCAGGTGACTTATCCTGGAGTTGAATTCTTAAGGATTTTATTCAGGTTCAAAAAGAGGAAGGAAAATTCATCGTTGCATGTTCACGTCCTCCATGAAGCGGAAAATTAGGAGGTTTCACGTCGTAGTCTTGCAGTGGACTTCAAGGAAAATGAACTAAAAAGTGCGATGCACATACAGAGCTGTTGTTTTGATCATTAAACCTATTATTTTTTTGTTGTGGTTGTTGTCGTAGTTGCTTAAGCTCCCTAATATTCTTGTAAGCATACCTTTCACTGCTGCTTGAACAGTTCTTCCTATTCTTCTTTGTCTTGTTTGTTGTTGATATTTCCTGTACAGATTCTTCTCCTAACCTTTGGCTGGAAGTCGACAGCAGTTTGATCCCAGATGACTTATGTGAATTATTGTGATAGCCATTTTGTTCAGCCTCTTGAGTACTAACAGTGCAAACAAGAAAAAAGATGTAAAAAAATTAATAAAGGGATCTTGTCACTGAGATTTAGTGCTGAAAGGCCCACACACAGAGCTGCATATATTGTGTTTTCTTGAAAGGACAAAAAACCCGGCTAAGTCACCACTTTTATTGGATAAAAAAAGGCGGTCAGACTCGGGCAATATGGTAACCAATTGGGGTAACATCACAAGCCTCCAGTTTCGTCATATGCATAACAATGTTAAAGGCAATCTGGTGGGGGGTGAATANGACGAGGACAGCAGTGAAAACGTTGGTGAAAAAATGAATTTGCATTCTTTAAAACTTAATCGCGTCTATTTGGACCTGCTTAATATGTCAAATGCAGGTGACTTATCCTGGAGTTGAATTCTTAAGGATTTTACTCAGGTTCAAAAAGAGGAAGGAAAATTCATTGTTGCATGTTTACGTCCTCCATGAAGCGGAAAATTAGGAGGTTTCACGTCGTAGTCTTGCAGTGGACTTCAAGGAAATGAACTAAAAAGTGTGATGCACATACAGAGCTGTTGTTTTGATCATTAAACCTATTATTTTTTTGTTGTGGTTGTTTTCGTAGTTGCTTAAGCTCCCTAATATTCTTGTAAGCATACCTTTCACTGCTGCTTGAACAGTTCTTCCTATTCTTCTTTGTCTTGTTTGTTGTTGATATTTCCTGTACAGATTCTTCTCCTAACCTTTGGCTGGAAGTCGACAGCAGTTTGATCCCAGATGACTTATGTGAATTATTGTGATAGCCATTTTGTTCAGCCTCTTGAGTACTAACAGTGCAAACAAGAAAAAAGATGTAAAAAAATTAATAAAGGGATCTTGTCACTGAGATTTAGTGCTGAAAGGCCCACACACAGAGCTGCATATATTGTGTTTTCTTGAAAGGACAAAAAACCCGGCTAAGTCACCACTTTTATTGGATAAAAAAAGGCGGTCAGACTCGGGCAATATGGTAACCAATTGGGGTAACATCACAAGCCTCCAGTTTCGTCATATGCATAACAATGTTAAAGGCAATCTGGTGGGGGGTGAATAACTGGAAGTCACAGCTGCAACACCTACCCTCTGAGAGTAGATGATAGATGATAGTTATTGTAAACAGCAACAACATTTACCAGATATAGCTGCTGTCAAGAAATTTTGAGAGCTTCTTTGCAACATGTTGTCTAAATTCAGGAGTTATTAACTCCGAGGTTGAAAAGACAGTGTCTTCATCCTCCCTCCAGTGTCTGCAGTAAGGGAAAAAAAATATCTATAAGGCACAAACTTTCATCACCACAAATAGGGACCAGCAATTCAGGTGGTAAAACTGGTTTGTAAAGCTAAGGTAGGCACCAGACCCTTTGGGGTCAGTCACATTAATCTTCAGCTCTGCTCTTCTGAGGCAGGAGAGGGAGAGGTGAAAGGGCAATTTTTGGAGCATTGTACGTCTTCGGCTAACAAACAACAAAAGCCCTTGGCTTAGCCTCACAGGATTCTTCAAAAGTTGGTATTCTTAGTATTTTTACATTTGCTCTGGCACCAGTGTGGTGTTACCAAACCATACTGAAACATAAATATGCAAGCAACAGGTCAAATAGAAAACAGACTTGCTTGATATAATTGCCAGTAACTGCCTGCTCTTAGGCAGTGTCCTGTGCTTTCTCAGTATCTTGAGCACACATTTTTCTCTTCAGGGGCCTTATGGCTGATAAATACTGTACATTATATTCTTAGGTCTCTGAACCAGGCAGAGGAGTTATGTCTGCTATTTATACCCCATACCCTGGGGCTTTTTCACCCTACATACAAATCCCCAGGAGTGTCCCAGGAGTGAACCCCTGGGAGGGAGTGTCCCGGGAGTAAACCCCTGGGAAAGCCAATGATATCTGATAATGCATATGGAGAAATGAAATTCTGATCAACATCAAAAAATACGGAATCGCGCGGTTCTTTTGAAGATCTTGGGTTATTTTTGAAAACAAATACAGCCAGAACTAACCTCAAACTTGGCTTAGTGCGAGGTTTCGAGCTTGCACGGGAATTATCCGAATCGCCCTTTTTAGATACCTCTAAATGATGTTTATAAGGAAACAAAAACAAACAATGTTTTCAGAATATTACAGACAACTGTATTATTTTAAGCCTAATATATTTTCACAAAAAACGAGAGTTATTTTACCAGTGTCGACAATACCAGCTATAGCTGCAAATTTTTCCAAGTCTTCATCAGAACTTTCACTCGAGGAAGCCATCTTGATCGATCAAAACTCCTAGCTACTACCCTGACAAATACAACTTTTCACTTCTTCAAAAAGAGGCTTGTTCGGTACAGTCTTCCTCGGCCAAAGGAACGCAATTCTCAAAGAGAGGCTACTGTCAAAAACAACATGGAGGTCGTGTGACTGCCTTTCCTGTCAAAAAGGGTTATAAATTAACCTCATCGTTTCAAAACATGCTCTAGCCTCGCAGCAGTTGTAAGAAATAACTGTGGCATCCAACGCATCGTACAGCATGGAGAACGAGCTGTTGAATTCGGGATCGGATGACGAAGACAGTGATACCGCGGATGTAGCAACACGGACGAAAGCTACATATTTTGCGAAGAAGAAAACGCGGCCGCCACGGCCGATTGAGCCAAACGTTCAAGTGCAAAACCATCAAGAACATGCTGGGAGGAGCGGGGAAGTAAGTGAGGACAAAGATCTAGGCTCTGGAGATATATGGTCAGCAAATAAGGTAAAACTCCACACGAAGTTTTTTGATCGTATCTGATCGAGTCACGCTAGCTTGTACGTGGATGACTCGTAAAGTTTTCTTGGATCGTACGTAGTTTTCTCCCACCTAGTCACAATTAAACAAATTCGGAATGTTTATAATAAGCTCTTTGATGCTGAACACGGTACGATCGGTGTCTGATTATAATACTGTCTTCTCTCTATTTTCTCTGCACAAAGTGCTCGTTATTTATTTATGACTAACGACTTGTGGGCGTGAATTGGAAAAATCTGCATAGCAGGTGATCTACGATCGAAGTAAACTAACCTGCAGATAATACATAGTTGGAAACTAAAATGTTTCAGATTAAGAAAAGTAAATATTACTGAGTAGCATACCACTCTCTAATTCTGAAATCACAGTTCTACCTTCCTTGCTACAGGCAACTGTATATCTCCAGCTGGTTAAATTGTATAATAAATGATTAATGATTCTGAATTGATAAACTACCAATAAATGTAACTTCTATTTCTTCTTTCTCTTCACATATTGTTCTTTATCTTGTTGTTTTTTCCTGATCTGGGGGAGAGAGAGGCTCTTCCTTTAACTAAAAAAACAGTTTCACGAGGGTTATTGCTGGATGCATAAGTCTTGTGATATGCTAACTTGATACAAAGACTTATTTTGGTTCAAATTTCAGTCTTTATCAATCGCCTTCGTGTTGTGTTGTGTTACATGCACAGTTATTTAACATTGGTAATGTCAAATACGTATCAACAGTAGAAATAATCTGCAACAGATTCAAATTAATTGAAATGCAATGCTTTACTCGCAGCTCTTCACTTTCCATTGGAAACTACTAGTTATATACCGTACANTTACATGCACAGTTATTTAACATTGGTAATGTCAAATACGTATCAACAGTAGAAATAATCTGCAACAGATTCAAATTAATTGAAATGCAATGCTTTACTCGCAGCTCTTCACTTTCCATTGGAAACTACTAGTTATATACCGTACAACTTAACATTTCACACTTATGGCTGTAACAGAAAACTAAAATTTCTGTTTTTAAGTTATCAGTTTCTAAGAATCAAGTAGTGCTATGCCAAATTTTTGCCAAAGAGTTTGCATATGAATGGTACAATGTAAGCTACCAGCCAAGGTTAATGGCTATCCTGTCATGAGGTTACAGTGATAAAGAAATTAAATTAATTATTAATTCACCCTTTTTGGCCAGTAGAGTTGAAATACTTTAGAGTACTAGATGGGTATCTGTCACAGTAAAAATTATGTAGATAAAAAATCATTACAAAATCTCCCCTAAGTTTGGTTTCTGTTTAATACTCTAGTACTTTTATATTAAGTATTGGAGATGGCTAGTGGAAGCAAGTACCTTATACATTTTAATAACATATGTTTTATTTCTGGTGGACTGATAAGAAACCAGATGGAAAAAAAAAAAGAATAAAACAATTGCTAAAACATAACAGAGTGTAAAGGAAGTGCTTTAACCACTAAATTTGAATTAAAAGAATTTGAGTGATATTTTGTGTCTTTCAGTCATATTGTCTGAAGATGAATCATTATTTATCATCACCGAGTCCTTGGGTAGTAAAAATTTACTTTGCTTAGATAGATTCAACCTGTCACTAGCCTTTGGCTAGTAAACTGAGAAAGTTCGTCTTGAGCCCTGAGCAAATCAGTAAAAGTTTTATAGTTTATTATTGAATTCCAGCCTTAATTATAATTAGATATTTCTCAATAAAATTTAAAGTTTTGGTAATCCAGGCATATCACTGCCTTATAAGAATTTTGTATAATATTCATTTTGAGAACTTCTTGTCATATTTCCATTTTTAAAATGATGCCAATTAATATTCCAAGAAAGCACTCATTTTCTTAATGGTCTTGTGATTGATGTTTAAATGCTAAATATCAATTCTTTGGGCAGAACCTGCCAAGCTCAATTTTTTTAGTATTCTGGGTTATGCACAAATATGTAGTTGCACTGTATTTTAACCCAGAAAAAAAGAACTTTGTTGTAGCAAGAGTTAAAAATTTATTAGTAAATTTTCACAATTAATTCCATCAAAACTTGTTTATTATTGTCCCATTATTTATGACGATTTGAATTTCCAAAGATTAAAATTATGCACATTCTTTTGTGTTTTTGGCCTGATTAAGTGCTCTAATTGCTTATGTACATGCAGTGCTTGAAACGGAGATGTCACTAATATTTTCATGTTTTATGGACTTGGAAGCCAAAAACTTGAAGAGATCAGATTGATCCTAAATCTTCGTCATGATCGATAAACAAGTATGTTCCGAGCAAATAAGGGTGGAAATTGTTTGTCAGTAATATTCTCCTATTCTCCAATAATTTAATTTGGAAAAAAATTCACAGGTCTCTGCACAGCCTTAGTGGTTTAAAACAATAATTTTCCTGTCTCTTGGAGTGCCAATATTACAATGTAGCCTTGTCGCATCTTAAATTCAAAAGACTCAAGACATTCTGCTGAGTATTTAATCAATAAATGTAATCAGTGAATTAATCATAATAATAATAATTCCGAGCGAAGCTCGGCCTGGAGCGCCGAGCGTAGCGACTTTATAATCTTGTCGCCCGCGAAGCGCGTGCGCAGTCTGCTAACCGCGTGTGGTCTTAGCCAGCTGCGAAATTCAAGGCTTCATAAATAAATAAATAAATCTTTCTTTCTCTGAATATATGCTTGGTATCCACCAATGACGTTATGGAGCATTTTGCGTTTCCAGGCAACATAGACTTCGCCGCCAATGACCAAGGCGCATTTTGATGTGTTTATTCATCCTCTCTGAATCAAAGATTACCATCGGTGAATCACGAACAATTTCCCATGCAAATGACACACAAGCACAACAAGTGACTCCAAATATTCGCCCAGGAAGATTTTCCACCGAAACTCCTCTGGAGCGAGAATGCCGACTTCCAATTCAACGTGAACAACGAAGGAGAAGACGTCAACAAGAAACTGTGGATCAGAAGGAACATCGCTTAGCACAGCGAAGGCAACGCCGACAACAAGAGACAGAGGAACAGGAGATTGGAATCAGAGGCATTATGATCGTTCACTGTTGAAAACCCATCCCCGCTGATATATGTAGATCAAAGTCGGCAAAGTTCCAGCTCTGTATTACGGCCCGAACTATAATAATTTTCTGGCGAAGTGCGCCGGGCCAGATTTGTTCTTTGTTTTTGTCTTTTTTCTAAATCCGGGCGCCGAAATAATGCTAAATCTGCTTTTCAATACACTGTTAACAATAACACCACATAGTATGCAAAAAAGAAGAAGAAGAAAAGAAAGAACAACGTATGGACCTTTAAGACGATATTCGCAGTTGGTCACGCATCCAGTTCTTAACCACGACTGGCAGGGCTTAACTTGAGTGCTGTTACCAAACGGAGTTTCGCGAGGCTTATTGCGAGATACGTGTTTCTAGTAATAATAATATAAATTTTATATAGTGCCAGTATCCTTAAAGTTCATAAGTGCTTAACAGAACATTAAAATAATAAAATAAACAAAAAATAAACAAAAAAATTAAGAAAAAGCTTCAAATCTTAAGACTGAAATAAAATTGGCTAAAAAGTTATAAAAAAAAGTTATAAAGATGCTGTTTTAAAAAGGAAACTTTTAAGTCTGTTTTTAAAAACGGACAGTGAGGAGCTGTTCTTAATGTCAGACAGCAGAGTATTCCAGAGTGTGGGGTTACCATGGACAAAGATCTAAAAATTCTTGAAAATTAAGACCCAAACAAAGTTTGCATGGTACAGTTGAACCACACTTTACAGACACCCACTTTAATAATATGGACCCCTAGTTATTATGGACAGTTTTCCTTGTTCCCAGCTCTTACATTTCCCTCAATTCAACCTGCTTAATATGGACAAGAGCAGACACTTTTACGTTCCCCTCAGTTTCTGTATTAATGGGTTTGACTGTATGTGATTTAAAAGGGTAACGATAATGTTACTCTTTCAATTATGGGATCTGAAGGTGTTTTTTGTGGTACAACTGTGTATGTTTTACATTGGATCAAATTATTAGTAGAATCAGTTGACAGAAATGAAAAAGGCAGGCTACCTTTCATGTTTTCTTTTTAGTATCAAGCTTCTTCAAGTTCATATGGTGCATATTCTGAGACACGAATGAAGACTGAAAGCATAGGGTAGGTTTTTCTTTTTTTATTTATCCCCATTGCCTTCAGTTTTCTGCCATTATTTTGAAAATGATATTACTGCCTATGCAATGTTTTTTAACTGATCACTGTTTCAAATCTCCTGTAGAACAAATTCACTAGCATTTGATTCTGAAGAAGATGTCTCTGGGTGGAGAAGAGAAACACTTTTGTGAGTACATGATATTAGTGTCAGAGTTGTCTAGTTGTTTTAACCTTGTGTTGTTTCCTATTCTTTGTGGCTTTAGAATTTTTCTATAATCCATGAAAAATGTCCCACACAATGTAGAAAAGTGCAATAATTTTCTCCATAATAATTTACTTCTTTGAGCTGAGGCAATTGTTAATACATAAGAAGCAAGCTGAACACTCAAAAAGCTAAAAAGTGTGCAAATTAGTTGAATTTCTTGATAGANTGCCATTATTTTGAAAATGATATTACTGCCTATGCAATGTTTTTTAACTGATCACTGTTTCAAATCTCCTGTAGAACAAATTCACTAGCATTTGATTCTGAAGAAGATGTCTCTGGGTGGAGAAGAGAAACACTTTTGTGAGTACATGATATTAGTGTCAGAGTTGTCTAGTTGTTTTAACCTTGTGTTGTTTCCTATTCTTTGTGGCTTTAGAATTTTTCTATAATCCATGAAAAATGTCCCACACAATGTAGAAAAGTGCAATAATTTTCTCCATAATAATTTACTTCTTTGAGCTGAGGCAATTGTTAATACATAAGAAGCAAGCTGAACACTCAAAAAGCTAAAAAGTGTGCAAATTAGTTGAATTTCTTGATAGATAAATAGAGGATATTACATGGCCATGCGGAGATACGAAATTTCTCTTCAAGTGTTATGCGCTCACTCGTGAAATATTTTTTCAACACGAGAAGAGAAATTTCGTATTTCCAGGTGGCCATGTAATGTTCTATTTATTATATAAACACCAATGAAATACCAAACCATTTCACTTTAATAGTTTTTGGTGTGAAAGGCGCGATTTATTATGTAGCCATGGCAAAGGTGATATTTTCACGTGTGAAGATAACATGTTATTTTCACATGTGAAGATATCAAGTTTTCGCGCGAAAGCTCACCCGGTATTTCATTGGTGTTTATATAACAAACAATATTCTTTACCAGTCTCAAAGCTAATTTTCACAAACACAAAAGAAAAATTTATCCATTCCATTTTGATTCATAGTGCGCTGATGAGATTCAGTTGTTTATTATTAATGGTAAAAGATTTTAAGTGTTGACTTTACCCTACAATCAGTAATAGTTCCATGTTGGTTTTGTAATAGTTGGCTGAGGCATCCAAAAATAAAAGAAAACTGGAAAACTGTTACAGCAGCATTTTTGTTATTTGTGGCAGGACTAGGTATGTATGCTTGATATTGAGAAAGTAATCATGTTAATATAAACAAGGGTTTTCAATGGGGCTCACCTCAGGTCAGTGAATGGTTNAGTTGGCTGAGGCATCCAAAAATAAAAGAAAACTGGAAAACTGTTACAGCAGCATTTTTGTTATTTGTGGCAGGACTAGGTATGTATGCTTGATATTGAGAAAGTAATCATGTTAATATAAACAAGGGTTTTCAATGGGGCTCACCTCAGGTCAGTGAATGGTTACAAAAAACTCTTTTTAGTCAATATGCATGAAAAGAGGGGCCTTGTCAGTTAATTTCTAGGGTGTACAGTACCAGACTGTATATAATTTGTCACAAAAGCTATCAAAAATCTTGGCCATTCTCTAATTAGGAAAACAAAGTTTCAATCAAGCTGCATAGGTGAACAATTAATTTATCAGCTGTGCTTCAAATGGAAAAAATATAGCAAATGTATAGAGCACTTCTGAAATTAAGTTTGGATTTGATAAAACTGTTATTTGTAAACAAAAAAATTACCATTCTTTCCTCAAAATGTTCAAAATTGAATGCAATTAACTTTGTGTACTATAAAACTTGAGCTGATAATTATTAAGACAGGTAATACAACAAAAACATCGTTTATATATGCTTAACAGCTAACAAGTAAAGTTCAAAAATCCTAGATGTACGGTTGGTTAAATTTTTTACTTTTGAGTTCGCACGTTATTTAAAAGCACAGTAGAGCTTGCCAAGTTAACTGATTTTTTGTGTTTTTCATTTTAGCTTTTTTAATAGCTGGAATAGTATTAGCAGCAACTGGAGATGATGGTGTGTACTCTTACCTCTTATAAATTACCATAAATTCTTTATAAAGCTCCCCTCTCTTTTAGCCTTCCCCCACATTGTCCCGCTCTTAAATGATAGACTGTATTAATACAGTGGAACTTCACCTTACGGCCCACCTTTTTTTGGCCACCCGACCAAATGACCAAATGACCGAACAGTTAATACGGCCAATTTTTATTGGCCCATTGGTGACCGTATTAACGGGGTTTCACTGTATTACAGTGTGACTACTCGAACCGGGGCACTTGGAAGAAGAGTATCCAATCACAAGGTTTTTTGAAAATAAAAGATTCTTAAGTTTTTTGCAAACGGACCAATAAAATTCAAGGTTCAACAATGTAACTGTTGAAAACTTTAAAACCGTTTGAACTTACCTGACCTCTCAGGAAACAGCATTCAAATTTATGAATGTTATTGGTCTGTTGGCCCAAAAAAAAAAACTTGAGAATCTTTTGTTTTCAAAAACCAATGTTATTGGATCATCTTCATCCAAGTGCCCCGATTCGAGTATTCTCACTGTAATCATAACTGTAACACTTCATGTGGACTGCTCCAGTATGGTTTTATACACGTGCTGCCAGAATTTTGTATTTCTTTTCGACCTTCAGCGACATGATCTCCGAATTCATGTTACTATGCTTTTCCACGTTCTTGTTCTTTATGGAGAATTGATGACATCCTCTTCTCTAAAATACCTTTAATGTTATAGGAAATTAACGTCTCATAAAATTAAGGTATTGGAAATTAACGCTAATTTAACGAAAAACGATTTTCGAAGTAAAGAAATTAATGCGGAAGAGAGGGTAACATTTCAAAATGAAGGAAATTAACGTGACGTTCACAAAGAAACAAACAGACAACAGAACAAAGTTAAACGTATAATACGAGATGGAAACTTTATTCGTGGTACTTTTCCTCAACGTAAGAAGTAGGTTAAGCGAAGAAATCTGGCCACTTCGAGGGTTCTTTACAGTTTTACTGATACTCAATGCTGTGCTCTAAGGAAATTGAAGGGTGCCCAGTGCTCTAAACCTGTAAAATCTTATAGGGTGCCCAGCATACGATTTGTATGAAAAAACTAAGATTTCCTAGTCGCCCAAGATCAAAAGTAAGGCGCCAGGGGCCACTGGGCTCCGCTAGAGCTCAGCGCTGATACTGCCGGATCTCCACCCTGATAAAACTCCTCTTCATTGAGGATTTATGGTAATAAAATTTTCAGAATATTTTTGGATCAAATGTTGTATCTCCTAAGTTTTGAAGGCTACTAAGTTTATTATTGTTTTGTTCTTTAATCCAGGAATGAAGAGTGTTATATTTTTTGTTTGTGCTGCTATATGCATTCTTCCTGGTGGTAAGTCTAAACTTTGTTCTAGCGAGCTATGTGTGATTCTGCTGATATATAATCTCGTGTTTTGTTGCTTGTGTTAGAGGAAAATGGTTACTTTTTGCGGGCGACAAGAGGAGCCCACAATCCTAATCTCCAGGTTGCTATTACGCATGCGTTGCATGTATTTAGCCAGGATTCGTTTACAGGATTCGTACAGAATGCAATAGGTAATTTCCGAGTTCCCCCGGGCCTCTGTTTCAAAACGAGGGTAGTTTCTCAGCCTTTGATATGGAAATCATTTTTCATTCTCATGCAAAAAAAACTCATTTTCACAAGAAAGGTTGTGCACCTAGCCTCATTTTGAAAGTGAGGGTTTTTGGAACTCGGAAGTGGCCTGTTTGATCCATCCTCGGAGACCCACGGGCAGTCAGTCGGGTCGGGAGAAAAGGCGGGACGAAAGTTTTCAAGTACGAGCTAAAGAGCCCCTGGGAACCGACTCTCACCGAACTATTTCCAAAAATTCAAGCAGATGCCGGCTCCTGATTGGGCACAATAATACAAAGCATTTTTTGTGCCCAATCAGGAGCAGGCATCCGCTTGAATTTTTGGAAATAGTTCGGTGAGAGTCGGTACCCAGGAGCTCTTTCGCCCGTACTTGCACAAAAACCCGACTGACTGCCCCTGGGTCTCCGAGGATGTATTTGATCACGTGCGTTTGGACCTTCTATCACTCATAATCTGATCACGCGTGTTTTGGCTATCGCTCACGTGAAACTTACCCAAAGCATAGTGATGGATCAAAAGCGTTTTGACCTTCGATCGTTGTCGCCCGCACTCCGTAACCTTTGGTTATTACTAGTTTATCTGGATACATGCTGGTGAAAGGGACAACCCCGTTCCCACGGTTCTCTCTTACTCGTCCATTGTCCTCTCTCTGTCTCTCGGGCTCCGGGGAACAAGAAGGAGGGAACACTGGTAACGAGGCTGGAAGAGGGACTCCTTAAAGCCCAGTTCAATTAATTGAACCTCTAGCTCTAGTATTTTAACTTTAATTTCCTCCGCCAGAGCTCGAAAAACGTCCCGTCCGGTATTCCGGGACAAGTAGATTTTCTTGCTGGGCAAGTAACTGTTAAAGCTTAATTGCCCAATGGGCCAGAGTCCAGGCGAAGCATCCTCTAACAAAAGTAGCCTGGGGCAAGCAAAGTGTGAGAGCTGTTTGCGCAAAGGACGAGCTAGATTTTTTTTTCGAGCCCTGTCCAACCCTCATCCAATACACAATCACCCCCAGCTAGTAACATGCCATTCGTGACATACATGTACATGTATGCTAAATTACCAAAAGTGCACAAACCCAGCATACCTATGCAGCCCATAGTTTCTTTCTCTGGATCTCCGACTTACCAACTGTCAAAATACGTAACTAACGTACTGAAACATTTGACTGACGAATCTGGACATAAACTACAGTCTACTGAGAACTTTATTGACGCCATTAAGACAATACAGATACCTGACGACCACAAACTAGTGTCTTGTGACCTGAAATCACTGTTCACCAGTATTCCACTTCAAATGGCTTTAGACTGCTGATTTGTTGCCGGCACCGTACAAATGACATATTGACGGACTCATGCAAAACTAACTACGAGAGAACGACTGGACAACCTACAATTTGACTAACAATTAACGACTGTGACAATAGAAGGATTGAAAAGCACCCACGACATTACGAGTCTTCATAGCCAATAACATCACGGCTTAACTGACAGACGACCAATAACATGGCGACTTAATGGACCAATCAGATCAATAACCAGTCAGAGTTTAATACCATGAACTGACGTGATACAACTCACTTCGACTCTGAAGATGACTACCGCACATGTTGTCGAAACGTCAGTCACTGTCAACAACAACAGTCCTATTCAGGACTACGTTCACCTGGACGATCAAACTCAACCTACTTATGAAAACGTTTTTTTGCAGGATATCACATAATTTACATATACAGAGCTACAAAAGGCCAGAGAGGGTACAATTTTGAGAGCATACCGTCATTCCAATGATGCAGCAATTATACATGGAATAACTAAAATTATTTATAATCTTTTTAAATCTTTTTCATAACTCTGGGTTGAAAATCATTGATATTGCGTCCAGAGTCTTTTTGGTCACAAAGGATGATTCTGATGTGCCATATTTATTCTAATAAATGCCCGGAGTGGTCATTTAAAAAATAAGCTCCAAAAGATTACGCTTATTAGAGAGAGACATTCATTTTGCACAATTTCAAGTGTTAACGCAACTTTAACATCACAATTAAAACATTTTTACGTTTGGAAAAACAAACAAAACAGAAATTTCTGTCAGAGTGGTGTGTTCTTTATTTTGACGATGAATACGAACAGGCCAAGCTTTTTTGTAAGAAACATCGTCTCTTAACAAGCTAACTGAACGAAAGGATAATGCGATAAATATAATTTTGGTAAGGTGTATTTCATTCAGTTGACATTTTTGTATGATCAGAAGGATGTTATTTAGTACTATTATTATTGTTTCTAATGATTACTACCTAATTTTTTCCATGTTCTTGGGATTGCTGCAGCACAAAGAAGATTTCATTTTCAAGTTGGAATTAAAATGACGCAGAAATAAATGTGTACCATTAGAAAAAGACAAATTTATATTAAATGGCTAAACGGGCTGATATTCAAAATGATCTGTTGAGGCCTAATCATCTGCCGGCAGTGGCCGTTCCAGACCTTCAGATAAGGGGGTGGGGAAGGGGGGAGGGGGGTGGTAACGGTCATCCAGATCCTGAGATAAGGGGGGCCCGGGTATCCAAAAAATTTTATTCGGCCCCTCGGGCCTCAATTTGGTCTAAATAGATGGGGTTGGGGGGGGGGGGAAGACCCCCTCTGAGCCCCCCTCTGCTTCCAAATAAAGAAAAGAAAGACATATAATACATAATACATAAAGTAATAATGGATTATGAAATATGTTTTTGGCTTTTTTTCACATTGTGGCATGCGAGACCTATGCTGGTAGGGAAATGAATACAAGTTATTTTGGGGTTATGTGACACAATTTAAATTTTGTATTATGTAGGTAATTTATAAAACATATTTGAGTTCTTATGCTTTGTACAGATTAAATTTCCCTTTTTTCATGTTTCGTTAGTATACGTGTCGTAGTGGTCTGTTTAGTTCACTAATTCTTTTTGCTATGTGGCTTATGTATTATTATTTCGTAACCATTATCACATGGCTCAGTGCAGGTAATCATTCTGCAATGCATACCAGCACAACTTTTTGACCCGGCATATCATAGACTTTTTCTTAACCACACTTGCTTAGAACCATAGTGAAGAGCAGGTCATTTTGTAAAGATGTTCGGCAAATTAATGTTCCTCAGTATGGTACTTGGGTTTGGTTAAGTAGTATGCCGGTTTCTCTTGACAAGAAGCTGATGATGAATTACAATTGTCTGTCAAACAAAGTGTGTTAAAAAGGAAACGAAGGATAAATATTGTTTGCAACCGGTCAAATTTTTGAGCCAACACTCCCAAAATTTATTTTGTTCCGAGATGGCCGAACGGCGTAGCGCAACAATGTTGGATCCGTTTGCACAGCTCTTCCAAAATTGTAGGGGCCACACACGCGCATTCCACATGGCCTCCAAAGTCTTAACGGGTTGTATCTTTCCCACGAAGCACTTCAGGTCCCCTCATAGACTTGCCTAGTCGAATCGAACTCAGATTTTTTTTACGAGCGCGAAGCGCGAGCGGTAGATTTGTTATGTTTTCTGCGGCAAAAGCGAGCGAAAGAGCGAGAGCAGGAGGCCAACTACCGGAACCGAAATTGAGAAGCGAAGGACTTTGAGAAAATCTAGTCCCAACATTGTTGGGAGTTGTTGCATGCGTGTGTACACCACTAACAACTCCCAACATTGTTGGCCCAACAACCTTGTGAGTTGTTGCGTCCGTTTGCACGTAGCTTCAGACTACAAAAGTAATATTTTTGTTCGCAATGTGGATCTCTCGAGGCTACGAGTCGTTTCGGCAACGAAACGGGCAAAAATGCTAAGACGCCATTTTTATTTCAAATACGTTTATTCGCCCATCAATCATTTGTAACAATGTCCTGTTTAGTACAATCAGATGCAAGAGATCTTGGCAAGCTCTACTGAGCTTTTCAAAGAAGATTTCCTGTTATAGTTTAGTGCTATTAATTATAATCAATGGCGATTCTTTTTTTCATTTTCATCCTCAAATATTGTACAGTTCATACAGTTCTAAAGTAAATGATGTAAATAATACTGTATATATATTAATGAAGTGAACTATATACGTGAACTATATGATTTGCCATTAGCGATCGCTTACAATATTTCTCTTATGCAAAAATGAGAGATTGGGGTACCTGTGGTTACCCAACTGTGGTTACCCAAACCGTTGAAGATAGCTTAAGTTACTCACACTCTCATAAAATCGCTATAAATGTCATAAATCGGCTCGGGGACCACACAGCAAAGAAGAAACAAACAACTTAAGGTCATTCCTCTGAAACGTAGAACCTGCAGTGAGATTTTTGTCAAACTTTACCGATCGGTTGTTTATGGTGTAGAAACTTAAAATATTGAATAAAACCGGGGGGTCCCCGTACCAATATGATTATAATTTCGAGTACATGCTTTGAAACGTTTCCGACGATTAGTTCTTTTTCTACACTAGAAAAGAGAAAGAGTTACTGTTCATTTTTAATAAAGAAAGAAAGGATAGGCCTCTCGGGAAATCAAAACTCTTTGTGTTTCCCTCCAGACCTGACATTAAGTGTGTAACATTTCGAATGCCAACCCTCGTATTTCGAGCTTGGGCTTCATGTTAACTTTTCGGCAGTTTCTGTTTCAAACAATTTCCTTGGATACGGCATGAAATCAGACATCGTTTGCAGAGAAACGATTGTTCAGAGTTAGCATGGAAGCTTGAACGGTTAGCTACGGATATAAGGTTTTTTGCTGAATAAACTTCTACAATAGGGTTTCAAAATACAGTTCTAATATGGTCTGGTACTAGGCAAAGGGGTTCGATTCATAGCCCCAGCGACACACACCGATCGTTCAATTGCGTAAAAAGTAAACACTTGGACCCAGGAAGCTCAGTTAGATGGACTTAGGGTGCATACCATCAGCATTTCAAACTGAGAAAGATTAACGCAGAAATCTGACGAGCATAACGGTAGGAGCCTGAGTACAAAAGGCTAGATTTCTCAAATGCAACATTAACCCCTGAACAGACATTGTTGTTGACTGCGATATTTTCTGCGCGGTAGGACTTCCTTCTATAAATTTTCACAACTCCGGTATAATTAACACCCGCCTCCAAGTGAACTACTCGGGGAAAGAACACTGGAAATGTATCTTTGCGATAAAGGCTGGAATCATAGGTACCATTTTTCGCGGCAATAGAGGTATTTCCTTGGTATAACTCAATTGTGAATCTATTACCAGGGAACAATTCTCCTCTGTTCCATAGGTAATAGCCTCGTAATATGACATTACTACTGGTTTGAAAGTTGAAAGCATCTGCCAGGGAAGCTTGATAACTTTGCCAGCTGTAGCGAACTGATGGCGTTGTGCTTCTTGAGATCCAACATTCACAATCCACTGAAAAAGGGGTAAGAAAATTGTACAGCGGCCGTTAATAACAACAACAAAAAAAGTGAATTCCATGCACACAGTCACAGCGTGTAGGACAATCTGTACTGAATGTCCTGTAATGTAGTGTCAAAGATAAATGACCCTCGATGAGCTTTAGGGCTTTTCAGGGCATTAGATAAGTATATTAAAACGTTCAGAACCAGAATTGCGTTTCTTGCCTCCCATTGTTCTGGTGTAGTTGCTTTTAAGAATCATCAATATGAAAGAGTGCGAATGTCACGAACGTCTCTGAAAGTCGGATCAATGAGTAATGAAGCCTAATTCCTGCTCGTTTCTTTGCCAGTGCTTTTTATGCTGTACAAAGCGGTTTTGTGTACCTTTTGAGTGTATCGGATGAAGCCTGTAAGTTGATTAGCTGTCTACAAGGTGGTTCTAGCTTTTGAATTTGTGGATGAAATCCTATAGTGTCACGGCAAATGAAAGCTGCTGAGCGGCACTTTCTTGTGGCACTGATTATTATTGTGCTGTATAAGGTAGCTGTAACTCAGTCTGATTCTGTGGATCGCGCAAATCCTAAAGTTTGACCATTCAAATGAAACTCGGTACTTTAGTCCTGCGGGATTGTTTTAACAGCGTTATTAAAATAACGCTTTACAAGGCGGTTCTAAAAATTCTGAAGACTGGCCAGTCGAATGGAAGCTACTCAGCAGTACTTTCCTGTATATTGTGAGTCACAATATGTTGAACACAAGGTCGCTCAAACTACTGAGTGTCAATCCGTGGATGAAATCCCTAAGTGTGACCAAATGACGGCTACCAAGTACTGTAGTACGTTAAGTTTGATGAGTCTGCTTCGACAAAACCTCAATAAATTACTTGTATTCATGCAGTGACGATTCACAATTTTACTCTTCTTCTTCTTTTTTATTTTTCTTGTGAGGTGTTTTTTTTTCTGTGTTCTTTTGCCTAGAAGCGATTTTGCTCCGATGTTAGTTTCAGTTAAGTGATACTCACCTCCTTTCTGTACAACTAAGTTCATCCTAGTCTTCTTTGTTCCCATGTTGTTCGTTACTTCACACTCGTATAATCCACTGTCGGTAGTAGTGAGGTTTCTGATGGTAAGGATTTCTCCACTCACTTCAGTTCTCGCCAAGGGAAATGCCTGAAGAAGCCTGGTCCAGTTGGACACCGGGGTTGGAAATCCTTCTGCCTGACAGACTTCTGAGAAATCAGTGCTTTCAAATGGCATAGTGAGTGATGGTGGTCTTTTTACGAAGATAGGTGCGGCTAAAGATGTGAAATTCAAGGTGTTAGGTGTGAGGCTTTCAGCAAATTCGAAAAACTACCCTTAGTGTCGATGACACCGTGTGCCAAACACAGTTTTTCACTTAGTATTGAACAATGCAGAACGCCTCTGCCGCTTTGGTAGCCTAAGCTGGTAGAAAGCAAATTCCGCAAGGATAGATCTTTGAACATTTTGTCCAAACCTGATAGAGTTGCACTTAGAAAACCAAGTAATATTTTGATGAAAAATCCACTGCCAACTTTCCTATTCATCTACTACTCTTTGCAGATTAAATTTCATTTCGTCCTGGCTACAAAAACTAACAAAAATGCTGAAAGGCAGAGGGAAAAAAGAAAGCCTAAAAGAAAGATCGAAGAAGATTCGTGTTAGTACAAATTTTGTCTTAAGCGCATGCTCCGCAAAAAAACCCTGCTTATTATAATTACGTCCAATTAACAGGAAAATATTTGCTAATTTCACTGGCGGTCGCCAGAGGGTTATGCTTCGGCCCCTGTGCTACGCTTTCGCACGTCAGTTTTTGATGTATATTTATTATAGTAAAACTTTGAGGCTTCTGAAACAGTTCGCTATACTGTTCTGTCATCAGAAGCGAACCTGTCAGTCAAACTTTCTTAACGGTATAGTGATTTTCTTTAATTTTCTTGTCAGATTCTCTGAGAATTAAAACTGACGACGAACGGCATCATATCTTTCAGACTTACCTCGTACTGTTAAGTTTCCAACTGATTCGTCTGAACCTAATGCACTGTTCGCCACGCAAGAATACTCTCCGGTATCGTAGAAATTTGCCTGGTTTATAAACAGTTTACCAGAGTCGATAGAGTACTTAAACCCAGTTAACAGCCTAACGCCTTCAAACTTCCAGTAAATATTAGGTGTAGGATTTCCACTGATGAGGCATTGAAACGTTACGTTGTCTCCTTCATCGACTGTGACTTCCATCGGCGTCACCGTCACGTTCGGTAAGGCGATCATATCTCCGGGTTTACCTGGAGGTCCCCGCACTCCTTTTGACCCTGGTTCCCCTTTATTTCCTTTTTCTCCCCCGGGTCCCGGAGGTCCTACCGTTCCATTTTCTCCGCGCGCCCCGGGAATTCCGATTATTCCTGGTGATCCTGTGTCACCCTGGTCTCCTTTCTCTCCTCTAGGTCCTACTGGGCCGACAATTCCCGTTTTTCCAGCTACACCTGGTGGTCCAACGCTTCCCTGAAGCCCCTTGTTTCCCTTGTTCCCTTTGGGTCCCCTACTGCCACGGGATCCTCTTCTACCTCTTGGACCAGGGCGTCCGGGGGGTCCTGCTGGGCATACTCTCTCACTGGTTTTGCAGTATTTCCCTAGTTGGAAGGCAATTTCAACGCTAATATCCTCAGAAGTAATAATCCTTGTTGTGTTGTCCAGAGCGTGCCTGCGAGATCGTTTAATAGAAGATGTTTTAAGAGGATCTGCGGAGTATAAAAATAACCTGTCAATTGAGATTTCCGGTGAAGATCATTTATTTATACCGGCCACGACAGGCCGTCTAAGAGCCAGACGAAACTGATCCTTATGAGGAAAACGGGGAGAAAAGGATCATTTCGCTTCAACATAATTTTGTATTTTATGGCGTCAGAACCTTGACCATGGCTTGCAAGTCATTGAAATAATTTGTGCCAGGCTTGCTGGGAAACTATCTAAAAGATTCGGTCATGCGTCTCAAACGAAAATGAAGACTGAATTTCTGGGGGAGTATCCCCAGGCTGTTATTAGTAGCATTCTGATTATAGGTATCAGCAGCTGTTCAGACGAAAAAGGTGTAAAGGAAGCATGAAACTATTATTTTAAGGACGATTTTACGTATACCTGATATCACTCTATGTCGCTTGGCTTCCTTGGCTTCGTTTGTTGGAGGAATGTGTTCGCTTGTTGAAGTCAGAGGAAAGCCGCGATATCCGTCTGTCAAAGACGTTACTTGTTTTTCAAGCATGAAAAGACGATCGTTTACAGCTTCATTTTTTAGCCAAAGAACTCCAGAGACAAATGCTAGAAAAATTGACAAACAAGAAGGCTTAAACGATGGGAGAAGCTCTCTCACTCGCTGAGATTTAGAGGTCTTCAACCCGGTAGCGGTTCCTGCAGCCGATGAATTCATGATAACCGAGTAAAATGAACCGTCTGAGACGGCAGCACTACAAGATATAACATCGGGAATTTGACCTTATAGTCATGTGAGTTAGGCTTTTGTTTCAACATGCTCTGGCTTGTAGAGTTTTTTTTTCTGTTTTGTCTTAAATCTGTTAGACCATTGAGAAGAAGGTTCTTTCACACACAATCAGTGGGCTTAGGGCACAGCGACCACCCACACACAGAAAACACAACAGAAAACGTTACATGGTTTTAGATCCCTAGATAGTGTATCGTTCGGATCTCAACACTTAACAGTGTTAAATCTCGAATTTTGCCAAGGTTCTGTCATTGGACCGACCTTATTATATTTTTTCTCGCTTGCATTAGGGATTTACCTTTACAACAGTTTCCATAGTGTTAATGTACAAACAAATAGTCTGAGCTTAATCTACAAACTTGAAACTCCCCGGACATTATATATCAGATATATTCTGTTTTGTTTTGATTTCTTGATCATTTTTCAGGTACGCAAACACGCATGCGTACAGGTAACTACAGTCGTTAACTGAGCGACCACCCAGAATGCGAAGATGGTCGCTTTCAGCAGGTTGTTGCTTACGAGAGTCGAACCACAGGTGGGAGGGGGAGCGGGAGGGGGAGGGGGAGGAGGGGGGTGGGGGCTGCCAACCACGCAGGGGACAAGGTACTGACAGTCGTTAACGGGGCGCCCACCCGGAAGGGGAGGTGGGTGGCTTTAGGCGGGTTGTTGCTTAGGGGGGTGGACCCCCGGGGGGGGGGGGGGGGGGGGGGGGGGGGGTGGGGGGGGGGGTGGGGGCTGCCTAGAAGACGTTCGAACACATCTTCATCTTGGAAGATAATTTATTGCATTCAGTACGATGACGAGTAGTTTCATATTTGACGCTAAAAGTACATCGCATTGTATATTTGCGGTGTAGTGCATACAAGACGAACATAGAGATCATAATGCAAGCCATTAAGTTGTCGTTTTAATACAAGAGGACAAAAGCAATGGACACCGTCACTCAATAAGTGGTCGCAGTTGCCTACGAGAGGTGTTTGTGTACGAAAGGTTCCAGATATAGTGATTTCAATGGGAAAAGTTCAATGCTCTGGATTTATAGGTGGTCGCCGCTCATGGGAAGTGGTCGCATGTGGAGGTTATTCTTAGACTTCCACTGAAAAAGAAGAATCACCTTGTACTTCAGCTCAGACATAAAAGATTAGAAAAGAAGTTCAAGTATGTAGTTCTTTACAATTTTACACTGATATAGAATTAAGTTACGATCGGATAACCTAAACTTCCGCTATTACGCCCTAGACCCATACACGGCTTCGTAAGAAGTCTTAGGAGAGCTTACAACGGGACTAACAAAGCGTTTCAAAACAAGCTACGTAGCACTGCTGATCAAAATATTTCTTGAATTTATTCGCTCTTTTGAGCTTCAAAACGGCAACTATGCATCGGATCGATCGATCAATCCATCCAGGCTATATCCTGTGTACAGCAGCCGCACCCTTTACCCAGGCTCCTGATCGGTGCTTATAGTCCTGAAGCCAGGTCAAGCGTACCCCCCAAAATTCCATCAGTGAATTTATTATTCGAAAGTTGAGTCCGTTGGCAGTTACCCTGGAGAAACCACTGTTCGTAGGGTAGTTGGCAGTTGTAGATTTCACGATCTTCATGATTCTTGCATTCGTTATGAGCCGTGAATTCACACGCGATTCAGTTACGAAACTTTAGTTTCCCTGAATTTGATGTAAATGTCTTCTAACCAAATACAGACAAGCTCTCGTAACTGTTATTCACTGCTCATTTCGCATGCAGTAATTCCGATTTGAATTTGACACAAGTTACGGGAACGACTAACGGATTCATTTTTCAAATAATCAGTTCATTAATAGAATCTTGGGGGGTACGCTTGACCTGTTTTGACTGTAAATTAAGCCACAGGTTCAACCTCGTCCCCAGGGTGCTTTTTTCTAAGCGCCCTAAGGACGAGGTTGCCACAGGTTTCGTTTCATCTTGGTTAAAGTCACTTACATGTTTCTCTTTTTGCATCTTATTTCTTGTCCTTTTCTAAAGTGATGGCTGTGGAAGAGTAAATTAAACCTTATACTCTTTTAATTTTGCGAACAATTTTCATGAAAGGACCATTTAGAGAAACAGCTACGAAGACTGTGAAGAGAATCACGGTCAGCTGTCAGCAACTAATAAAACTGATTCATTTGAAAATTCATGGCGCTCTAACATAACATAATATAACTTGTGACATAAAAAAAATAAGAGTTAGAGCTACAAAGCTTGTGGGGTCAAATGCTAGCCGTTGATTGTCTTGGTGCTGCCTTCGGGTACGCAGCTGTCAAGTCCTGTCTGTTTTCAGCCAAATTTTCAGCCATACGTCCGGTACGTTTCGCCGTTTCACTACACAGTTCGTTTTTCACTATACTCTGATATTGACATCTCTTGGGCCTTGCACTTGCTTGTTATTCCTTTGTATTTGGAAGTGTATTCTTGATCTTGTAGTTTGAGTGAGAATCTTGAACAACAAAAAATGAAACAAAAAAAGAATATCCATTCTTTTGCTACTTTTTTTTAAAGAATAAACGTTCAAATTGAATACCACAAAAAAGGTCACACCTTCCTTTGTTTGGTGGAACACGTGCTTAATTGTTCGTTCTCTTGTTATCCTCCAAAGCTTTTAATCCCGTAGTCCATTTGGCGTCCTTTGTCCAGTGTCGATTTGTCGAGATTTCCTCCACGCGTCCTCTTTCCGCGGTTATTTCTTCTGGCCATTGTTCATTCTTTTCGTCTTCGCGGCCGTTTGCGAGGCGGTTTTGCTGCATTTGTTGTCTTCCTGGGTGTTTTTCCATTCAACAATGCCGAGGAAACGCAAGCATTCCAGCGAAGAGGAAGACGAGGAGGCGGAAGATGTTGAAAATAACGTGAGAACAAAGCGACGTGCTGCTGTCGAAGCGCGTGATCGCGTGGCGGCGAAGGAGGGCGCCAGCGACGACGAGGAAGAGGAAGAAGACTTTGAAGAAGAAGACGACGATAAAGATGAAGATTACGAAGGAGAAGCGCCTGATGAAGATGAGGGTGAAGAAGAAGCAGATGATGATGATGACGAAGAAGAAGAGAACCAGGCTGGAGAAAGGGACGAAGGAGATGAAGAAGACGAAGAGGTTGATGAGGAAGAACCCGAGACTGTTTTGTGCATTCTGGCAGATTTAGAAGAACCTACTGAAGGTAATGTTCTGTTTTATTGTAACGCCTTCATCTTCGGGGGCATTTTGTGAGCGAAAAACTTTTTCTTTTACCTTTTGTTCTTTCGAAAACCTCTCAAATGTCTCTTACTATCACGTCCGTGATCAGACCGCGTGGAGCGACGCGCGCGACTGAACATAAAGCTCGCCAATCATTTTGCGCCTTTAGTTGAAAACTACGTATCGTGATGGAATATGTTTTTTGGCAGATTTGTTGTTGATTTTCAAAATTCTCAGTGGTTCAGCTGGTGCTATTCTCAGCTTCTTTTGTCTAACGAACGCGAGTGCACCTTTTGTTCGGCCTCGACGCGAACTACAGCACGTGGACATTTTTTTCGCTAATTTAATTGTCAACCTCCCTAACGCGTAGAAATATTATGCGATATCGATTTCTTAATTTACATGTACCTTCGCCAGTTTAAAAAATATTTTGTTGTAAAATTTTTTTGTCAAACACACAGTTCTCATCGGTCAGAAACCAAACAACTGCAAGCAATAAGCTTAATAATAAATTAGAAAATGCTCTTAGACGATCACAACTCGACGCCATACAAATCGAAATTTCTGAGCTTTGTGGCTGTCAATCAATATCAGTCAATAGCTGTGACATGTGACGTCATACAGTAAACAAAGCACCGTTCAAAGTAACTTGTAGGCGGTCTTAAAATTGTTGTCCTGTCACTTTTCATGTCGTGAATTTTAGCTTGCAGATTGTTGTTGTAACCCAAAACGTTAACTTCCTTGATTCTCATCTGCAAATAATATCCCTCTCTTCCCATTGACACGCTAACATCTGCCTATTTTGACTGCCTAAAAAAGCCTCTACCAATATTATTTAAGTCTTATTTTGTCTGTGGCTAATGTCTCTCTTTTATGTCCATCACTTGGCTTACATTTAATACTGTCAAGCTTTAGAAACTAACTACTGATGATGCATTTTTGAAATATATTTTCCCAGGGTATAGAGTTGTAGAAAAATTGTTTTCTCCGCTAAAATAACTGGTCTATGGGCTTGAAGGAGCACATTTTTACTAGCCCAGTGTGGACAGTTTCACTAGTACGGGACTAATGGACTAGCCGTAGCGTCAAGCACTGTTGTGGAAGTTTCTAAAAGTACTAAAATAATAACAAAAGCACTACCCATAGTCCCTGCTCCTAAAACTGATACTTATATAGTAGTTATGATAAATAATTTTGATGATAATATTATTAAAATAATGACAATAACGAGAATTTTTAACTTGCCGAAAAATACCAAACTGTTTACCAGTTGCATGGTTTTAAACACCCTCCCAGCATTTCTGTTCTGATGATACCTCATGCTTCTGTTGACATTTTAGATACCCCAGGATATGTCCTCAAGAAAAAAGACAGTCCAAAGAAGTTGGAACTCTGCTTCATGGGTGATATGAGGGAGACATTAGTTGATGTTAGTGAAGCTTTTTCTAAGCATTTTGATGAGGAAAAGCTACCAGTTCTTCATATAACAAAATTTGACATGATAGGAGAAACAGAAGGAACAACACAGGTAAAAGATAATTATTTATTTCATAGTAAAATGTAAGAGCATCACATTACGAATATACATCATCATTCATTCAAAATATTTCTTATTTTCTGATTGGCTTAAATCCCCTGGTTAATTCTTTATAACCAGCAAGCATTGACCAAATTTAGCTTTGCCGATATCTTTAACCTTGTAAGACCCTGCACCCCCCTCAGTGTATGTAATACAGTAATAAATTTATTAACAACCTGATGTGAAGACTTATGCAGATTGAGGAAGGTGTTATCCTCCTCGGCTGGGATCTGCATAATAATTCTTCATATCACACAAAAACCTAATGGTCCAAATAAATATTTTTGTGATCTTTTTTGTTCCTGAAATTATGATAAGGACAGAAATGTACTTAGATACTTACCGCCCCACAGGACTCAAGGATTAGGCTTACATGCATTCTAGTTGTTATGTGTGACTTAGCATGTTATATATACAGAGTATATTACATGGCCGTGCAGAGATAAGAAAAATTATTCCATGGGTGAGCATGAGATGTTGTTCAACAAGAGAGAAATTTTTTATCTCCAGGCGGCCATGTAATGTTTTATTTATTATATAGACACCAAGGATATACCAACCCATGTGGCCATAATAATGGTGATCTTTACACATGTGAAGATAACATGTTATTTTCCAGTGTAAAGATTATCACTTTTTCATGCAAAGGCTCACCTGGTATTCGTTGGTGTTTAATTGATATATATTCATAAGCAGAATATATCGTATGGATTATTTATAGATTGATGTCCTCGAGATCAAATATGACAAATCATACGATGCTAGGCAACTGGATGAACCAAATGAAGACATACTCTCACAAGATTTTTATAGTGTTGTTCGTGTTGATGGCATCGATGGAACTTGGGCGAGTCAATATTTTCTCCCTGAAGACTGATAGTGTGGAAATTGAAGAGTGTTA